ACAGAGCAAGACTCTGACTCTGAAAAAAAAAATCAATGAACCCCAATTTTAAAAATGGGGGGGCAAAGAAGACAATTGACACAAGCACATGTGGCCATTAAGCTTAGGAAAAGAGGTCCAACCTACCTGGTAGTCAATAGTACATAAATTAAAACAAGGAGAAGTCATGTTTGCCCATTAAATTGGCAATTTTTTTTTTCAGTTAAATTGAGAGCTACATTTTAGAGTCAAAGTATCAGGCATTGTCAAGCATGGCCTCAGGAGGGCACTCTCTTACCCTGATGGCAGGGGTGGAAATGGGTGAAGCTACTTAGAACGGAATCTATCCATCTCAAGAACATATGTACGCTTTGACCCATACACTTTACATCTGGGATGTAAACTTTTATTATTTTGGAATAATAAAAAAACAGAAGGCTGGGCATGGTGGCTCACACCTGTAATCCCAGCACTTTGGGAAGCCAAGGTGGGAGGATTGTTTGACCCCAGGAGTTTGAGACCAGCCTGGGCATCACAGTGAGACCCCATCTCTATTTAAAACGAGAGAGAGAGAACCTAAATGTCCATCTAGAAGGAACTGGCAAAACAAAGGATGATTCATCCATTCAATTCTGGAGATGATTAGACATTTCTCCCTTTTTGTTTGTTTGTTTGAGACCGAGTTTCGCTCTTTTCACCCAGGCTGGAGTGCAGTGGCTTGATCTTGGCTCACAGCAACTTCCGCCTCCGGGTTCAAGCAATTCTCCTGCCTCAGCCTCCCGAGTAGCTGGGATTACAGGTGCCCGCCACCATGCCCGGCTAACTTTTGTATTTTTATTAGAGATGGGGTTTCACCATGTTGGGCAGGCTGGTCTCGAACTCCTGACCTCAGGTGATCCACCCGCCTCGGCCTCCCAAAGTGCTGGGATTATAGGCGTGAGCCACCGTGCCTGCCCACTTCTCCCTTTTAAGCTGAGATCTTTCCATTTTTCTCATGTAGTAATTCTTCCTTCACCTGGAAAGTGGTAGGTTTGATAAACTGTCCAAAATATTGCTGGCAATCCTAGAGCATGGTAGCATATGGCCTTAGCCCTTTCATCTCAAAAGTCACTTTATACAAAATACAACAAATGATAAACAGAAGTATTAGTGTTCTACAAAACTCTCATATCTTGCTCCCTGCTTGAATAAATTATTTATGTTGAATCACTTTGTAACACTGCTAACACAGCTTAGAGGAAGCCTGCCTTTCAGCGTGGCTACTGAGAAAAGCTTGAGTAGGGATCATCACTGTCATCACTGTCAACCATTCAGGATGTGTCAGGTCCCTTGTAAACAGTCACCAGGTTGTTGGCCAGGCACGGTGGCCCACATCTGTAATCCCAGCACTTCTGAAGGCTAAGGCGAGTGGATCACTTGAGGCCAGGAGTTCAAGACCAGCCTGGCCAATATGGCAAAACTCCATCTCTACAAAAAAATACAAAAAAAAATTTAGCTGGGTATAGTGGTGCATGCCTGTAATCCCAGCTACTCGCAAGGCTGAGGCAGGAGACTCGCTTGAACCCAGGAGGTGGAAGTGGCAGTGAGCCAAGATCGTACCACTGTACTCCAGCCTGGGCAACACAGCGGAACTCTGGCAAAAAAAAAAAAAAA